CTTTTTGTTTTAGAGCTTTCAGGTGTGCTGCTAATTCTCTAGTGTGACTATTCTCCAGTTTCTTCATGTGGGTTTAGTGCAATAAACTTTCCTCTTAGTACTGCTTTTAAAGTGTCCCATAAGTTTGGGTATGTTGTGTCTTCATTTTCATTGAATTCTAGGAAGTCTTCAATTTGTTTTTATTATTTCTTCCTTGAACCAAGAATGGTTCAATTGTGCATTGTTCAATTTCCATGAGTTTGAAGATTTTCTGCAGTTTGTGTTGTTGTTGAATTTTAACTTTAATGCGTGTTGGTCTGATAAGATACAGGGGGTTATTCCAATTTTTTTGTACCTGTTGTGGTTTGTTATGTTGCCAAGTATGTGGTCGATTTTAGAGAAGGTTTATGTGGCACTGAAAAGAAGGTATATTCTTTTGTGCTTGGATGGAATGTTCTATAGATGTCTGTTAAACCTAATTAGGTCATAACTTATATTAGTTTGTTTGCTAAGTTTCTGTCTGTTGGTCCTGTCTAGTGGTGAGATTGGGGTATTGAAATCTCCCACTCTAAGTGTATGAGCTTTTATGTGTGATTTGAAGTTTAGTAATGTTTCTTTTATGAATGTGGATGCCTTTGTATTTGGGGCACAGATGTTCAGAATTGAGACTTCATCTTGATGGATTTCTCCTGTGATGAATATGAAATGTCCTCCTTCATCTCTTTTGATTGATTTTAGTTTAAAGTCTAATTTGTTAAATATTAGGATTGCTACCCCAGCTTGTTTCTTGGGTCCATTTGACTGGAGAATCTTAACCTAACCCCTTACTCTGAGGTAATGTCTGTCTTTGAAGTTGAGGTATGGTTCCTGTATGCAGTAGAAAGATGGATTCTGTCTTTGAATCCATTCTGTTAGTCTGTGTCTTTTTATCGGTGAGTTAAGAGCATTAATATTGAAGGATATTGCCGGGCGGTGGTGGTGCATGCCTTTAATCCCAGCACTCGGGAGGCAGAGGCAGGCGGATCTCTGTGAGTTCGAGGCCGGGCTGGACCGATAGCCTCCAAAACAATACAGAGAAACCCTGTCTCGTAAAAACCAAAAAAACAAAACAAAACAAAAAAATATTGAGGGATATTAATGACCATTGATTGTTCATTCTTGTTTGTTTTGGATTTGTTGTTGTTGTTGGAATTGCAGGTGGATTTCTACCTTTTTTTCTTTTGGCTGTTGGTAAAGTGGGATTATCTATTGCCTATGTTTTTCTGTTTGTAGCTAACTTTCTTGGGTTGGAATTTTCCTTCCAGAACTTTCTGTAGGGCTGAATTAGTGGATATGTATTGTTTAAATCTGGTTTTGTCATGGAATATCTTGTTTTCTCCATCTATAGTGATTGAAAGCTTTGCTGGGTATCGTGGCCTGGGCTGGCATTCATGGTCTCTTGTGTTGGTAGATTATCTATCCATGACCTTCTGACTTTCAGTTGAGTGTAATTCTGATAGGTTTGCCTTTATATGTTACTTGGCCTTTTTCTTTAGTTGCTCTTAATATTCTTTCTTTATTCTGTATGTTTGGTGTTTTGATTATTATGTGATGAGAGGACTTTTTTTGTGGTCCACTCTATTTGGTGTTCTGTAAGCTTCTTGTACTTTCATTGGCATTTCTTTCTTTAGGATGGGAAAGTTTTCTTCTGTGACTTTGTTGAATATGTTTTCTGCACCTTTGAGTTGGTTTTTTTCTCCTTTTTCTATATCTGTTATTCTTAGGTTTGGTCTTTTCATGGTGTCCTATATTTCCTGGCTAGTTTGTGTGAGGGATTTCTTGACTTACGATTTTCTTTGGTAAATGAATCTTTTTCTCCTAATGTAATTTCAACGCCTGAAATTTTGTCTTATATCTCTTGTATTCTGTTGGTTATGCTTGCATCTGCAGTTCCTGATTGTTTACCCAGATTTTCTATTTTCAACAATCCCTCAGTTTTTGTTTTCTTTGTTGTCTCTCTTTCAGTTTTCAGGTCTTGAACCATTTCCTTTATCTGTTTTATTGTTTTTTCTTGGCTTTCTTTAAGAGATTTCTTGATTTTTTGTGTTTTCTTTTATTCCACTTCTTTAAGGGATTTTCTCATATCCTCTTTGAGGGCCTGTATCATTTTCATGAAGTTATTTTTAAGGTCATCCTCTTCTGCTTCATCTGTGTTGGGATGTTCATGTTTTGCTAGTATAGGGTTCCTAAACTCTGGTGTCATATTGCTTTTTCTTTTGCTTTCTTTTTGGTTTTGTTTTTTTTCGAGACAGGGTTTCTCTGTATTGTTTTGGAGGCTGTCCTGGAACTCGCTCTGTAGACCAGGCCGGCCTCACACTCACAGAGATCTGCCTGCCTCTGCCTCCCGAGTGCTGGGATTAAAGGCATGCACTACCAACGCCCGGCCCATATTGCTTTTTCTGTTGTTGTATGTGTTTTTTATTGTCTTCCCATCCCTTCTTCCAGCGGGTGCAGGAGGAGTCCCTTTCTCTCCTGGTGGGCATAGGTCCAAATTTCCCTTCTGCTGGATGCATGCAGGTCCAATACTCTGATGGCTCACCTCTTCCTGTGGGTGGTGGCAGGACAAGTCATGGGGCCTGGCAATCTCTAGGTGGGCTGGACTGCTGTGATGGGTTCCCCAGGGTCCAGTCCTCAGGCCTCAGGCAACTCTCAATGCCTATCAATTTTAATTTTGGATTACCTGTGCTGGTGGGTACTATGGCTAAACCCACTGATCCTTCCTCTTTATTCATTTTTTCTGGTGAGGATACAATCCAGAATTTGGAAAGGAACACTGTGCCTTGTGTGTTATTTGGGGGCTAAAGCACCAATGGAACCTGGGCAGGAATCCCGCAACAAGACCTGCTGTGCCCAAGGTCTCTCCCATTACATCTGACAACTGGTGGATGCAGAGACAGTGACACAACCCCCTTGCCTCCAATGTAGGAGCTATTTTAGCTCCATTGTTTTCTGTGGGATTGTTCAGGTCCCGTGTGCTAACTATGCCACGGTTCACTGTCCTCTGGCTCAGTCTCCTCACAACTTTTGTTCCTAAATGCGTTCACTTAAAGGTTTGTGTGTGCAAATCCTCATCTCAGGTCAGTGTCCAAGGAACCCCACCCAAGAAAATGGGGCTTATATCACAAGACTGGGAATGTTCTTAATTTGGTTCAGAACAAAGAGGAAATGGGTAACTAAACAAAGTGACTTCATGATGAACTTCTTGAAACTAATATAATTTAAATTAAAAGTTAACCTAAAGTAACTAAAAATTAACAAAACTAAATATTTAAGTACAATTATAAATGTTATGTTAAATTCAGGCTCCATCTCTGAATAAAAATCCGAGTTTCATGAGAAAGATGGATAATGAGATAGGTCTCCAACTCCAGCGAGGGGCTATGGAGCCAGGTAGATCCTTGGTGCCCACTGGATAGTCAGTTTAACTGAATCAATGAGGTTCAGGCCCATGGAGTGACTGACTTATAAAATAAGGTGGAAAGCAATTGACAAAGCCTCTTGATGTTGACTTCTGGCCTCCAAACGTGTGTTCACATGTGCATGTACTCATGTACACATCTACATGAACACACACACACACACACACACACACACACACACACGCACATACTGAAACTTAATTAAGTTGTTAAATTGAAACAGCATCTTTGCTGAGGATATAGTTCTGTAGCATGTTTACCCAGAATGAATGATGTCCTGGGTTCAATTGCAAAAACAAATCAATATAACAAAATCAGAACAACATAAAATTAAAAGGCACAGTAAATTAAATAATGTATCTTTCCTTCTTATCCATTCACATTAGCATGTTATACAAAACCTCACAATCTTACTTCCTGTGAGGGTCAGCAAGGTTTTGAGGTTAGAGGTCTGGATTTGGATTGAGTTGGTGTGTTTACTGATTACATAACCTTGAGCAAGTCCTTGATCTCTTTTTGCTTTAGTTTTTAGTAGCTGTGACACAGGAAAGTGACTGCAGCTTGAATAGCCATCTCAGGGTCAACCTTTTTCCTCAGCTTCTCTCTCTCTCTCTCTCTCTCTCTCTCTCTCTCTCTCTCTCTCTCTCTCTCTGAGCATGTTGATCACCTCCTTTCTTGATTACCCTCACACAAATCTTGGTTGTTATCATAATAATTTATACTGTACATGTCAGATATTTGACACCCACCACCCTCATTGCATCTTCGTAAGACTACATTCACAATTTCATTTTGAGTGAGTATGCCAGTGAGGTGCTGATGCAGAATAGCATCTTCCCAATGATTTACGGACTCAGAATGAACCCACATAGACCTTAGCAGCTGATGCCAGAAGGAAGGTATAGAATAAAGAATGCATAACACTTCTTAGAGTTGTAACATATCATATTCCTTCAAGGCAATCCTACTCATCCTCTTGGATTTTCAGTTGGTATTATCCATCAGAAAAGTAAATGATTCTATACGTGTAGGTTTTAAGTTGCAAAAAGCTGTCATGGGAAACAGCATTGACTTAGGTCCTCATCAAGTAGTTGAGTTTTGTAATCCCAGGGCAGTAGCAGTTCCCTTCTGCAATGATCTCAAGGAAGAGCAAAAAGATAACATGATGGATGATATCATAATCTGATATCCAGTGATCTTTGTTATCTAAATAAGGTACATTGCATTGTACCTTATTTGGTGTCTCTTGCATGTGATAAAACTGAAAAGTGTGTGGGAAGGCCCCATACTGACAACTTAAGATTGAGAAAACATTCCAATGCCATTTCAGTAAGTTGAGTGTGCATGATTTGTTTTCTCCAATTTTGGAACATATCTGTTTGGTGTATTGCCAAGCAAAGCCATCAAAGGCCATGGGGCACTCTATGTTATGTGACAATATTCCTTGGGAGAGGAGAACAAATGTCTACTTGCCCCAGATAGGGAACCAACACAAGACCAAAGTAAGGGTACAGGCCAATTCCAACTTGATGAACCAATGAGTTATTGTGGGGTTATTTACAGGAACAGAAATGAATTGAAGACAGCAGAATCACCATAATCTACCCCAGCATGAACGAGAGCTCATCAAATCTGGAAAACTGGAGTGAACTACACAACCGATCCTCAGCTTCAGAGGTTGAGGCATGTCTTTTCCAAGTAGCCCAGTTATTCTGAGCCTCTTCCAGGTAGCTGGTCTTGTCTCTGATTTCTTCCAGGCAGCTCAACTTGTCTGAAAATATCTCTCAGCAGTTGCTACAGCTCATGTATGTTTGTGAGTGAGTCTGGTCAGTTTCATGGACTTCCTGAAACTACTGAGTTGTTTATTTCCTGCACTTAGGAGCTTCATTGTAGGATGAGAAGTGTCATCTCTCCTTGGAACATATTGTTGTTTCACCTTTCTTTTAGCATCCTATGTGTTTTTTAACTTAAAAAATATTTAATTAATTTTACATACCAATCACAGTTCCCTCTCCCTCCCTTCCCCCTGCTCTACCTACCTCCCCCATCTTCCATATACCCCGCAGAGAGGCTAAGGACTCCTATGGGGAGTCAACTAAGCCTGGCATATTGAGTTGAGGCAGAACCAAGGACTTCCCCCTCTGTATCTAGGCTGAGCAAGGGAATGGGGTCCAAAAAGTCAGTTCATGCACCAGGGATAAATCCTGGTTCCACTGCCAGGGACCCCACAAGTTGCCCAAGCCACACAACTGTCATCCACATTCAGAGGGCTTAGTTAAGTCCAATGCAGTTCTCCAGCTGTCAGTCTGGAGTCTGTGAGCACCTACTAATTCAGGTCAGCTGTCTCTGTGATTTTCCCCACCATGTTCTCAACACCCCTTGCTTTTATAATCCTTCCATCCTTTCTTGGACTAGACTCCAGGAGCTCAGCCCAGTGCTTGGCTGTGGATCTCTGCATCTGTTTTTATCAGTTACTGGATGAAGGATCTGTGATGACAATTAGTTTATCCACCAATCTGATTACAGGAGAAGGCTGGTTCAGGCACCATCTCCACTATTGCTAGGAGTCTGAGCTGGGGTCATCCTTGTGGATTCATGAGAATTTACCTAGCACCAGGTTTATGTACTCACTTATAAGTGGATATTAGGTGAAAAGAAAAGGATAACCAGGCTACAATCCATAACCCCAGAGATGCTAGGTGACAAGGAAGACCCTAAAAGGGACATGCATGGATTGTCCTAGGAAGGGGAAATGGATAAGATCTCCTGGGTAAACTGGGGCAGGGAGGAGATGGGGAGGGGATGGATGATGAGAACATGAGGGAATGGAAGGGTCAAGTTGGGGGAGGGGCAGAGAGGGAGAGCAATGAAAGAGACATTTTGATTGAGGGAGCCATTATGGGGTTAGGGAGCATCCTGTATCTTAAAGAGCTTTCCCACAAGGTGGATAGGTTTTGTCTCAGAGGAAGTTGCTACACAACAACCTTTTATAAAAATTATAAATCCATCTGCAATGGGACCAAAAGCTCATATTGGTAAGAGCTGGTGGACCTGAGACCTAACGTAAGAAGAACAAATTAGTCACCCCTTTCATCAAGGGCATCTTTGATTTCTTTTAAGTCAATGGGCACAGAGTGGTAGAGTTTCTCTTTTACTTTACTGTCTTTGCTGTAGTCCTTTAATTGAATGTGCCTGAATCAAATGAAGTGGCATCCCATCATAGCATTTATAATACAGTTGGCATATTGTAGATACGGAGTAACCACTTGCTTCCTTGATAATGTGTCTCTTCACAGGCAGCTGCTGAAATGGAACCCCACCGTGAAGAAGACAGAATTGATTGAATCTGTCTATTCAGTGGAGTTGGTGTTAATAAGTTTCTCTGCTGACATCTCTAATGAGACAACAACGGATAATTTAATGGTGGAGTCAGTGGTTTGAAATTGCCCAGTACATTTTCAACAGAGTGCTGCTCCATGAGATAATAGATCTAGTACTCTTTGGTCAGTGAGCACTGCTGATTTGCCAGAATTTGGATGTCATTTGTTAGACTGAAGAGTGATTTGAAGTGAATATTTTATAAAAGGAATTTGTGGTTGTAGAATTAATTCAAACACTTCAGGATCCACAAGTTCCTGTGGAGAGTCTAAAAACTATGTGGAAGGAGACATGCATCCATTAGTGAAATTTTCCTAGAATGTTTTATTGTTTTTCTTCAGTGTGGACTTGTTTGTGTAACTGATATAAAGATGTTCAATAAGGAAAGGGCCATGACCGGAAGACTGGGGAGTAACATGGGGGGATTCACTCTGAGTTCAGTCCATGTGTGAGTGGGACCCGCTTTTTGCTTTTATAGGTCCCATAATGAAGAAAAATTGATTCTAAGAAGATAGAGAGCTAGATCAATGTTCTGTCAGTCCTGATGAAAACATTCTGTACTTGAAAATGTTAAGAAACATATATTTTGTTTCTGTTATTTCAACAGAACCCTCTCTGCATTTCCTTCCTTTCTTGACCTTGAGCTAGTTTGTGATTGTTGTTGTATCTCTAATGATGCTGGCAGAGTCAACACTTGGGTTAGACTATTGATTTATATCCACCCTAAGGACGTCAGGGCTGGAAGAAGGCATCTTGGTCGCTGCTGTTGGTCTCCAATTAAGGAAACCAAGGACCACAGGGGTTAGAAGGTAGTTCAAGTCCTGTGCAGTCAGGAAGAGGAGAGAAGTCAGGGTTAAAAATACAAAATGTGATCCCACCATTCCCTGTGGGCTCTTTCTCATTAATGAAATAAGCCTCTGGAAATACAGGACCTAGCTACTGTCCCTCCTGTTACCAAGGCATAGAAATCAATGCCAGCAGAAACTGGATAGAAGGCACAGATGTCTGCTTGCATGCAATACCCATCCCCCCTTTTATACGTCTGTACTACTTCATGGTATGATGCTTCAAATGACGCTGTAACGATAAACGGCACACTTACTGAAAGTAAAACTAAGTATTTATTGTAGAAATTACTCACAAGATACCAAACAAGTAACCCAGATGAGCCCAGTAGTTTTCCACTGCCGAACTGGAAGCCGAAACCCAGAAAAAGAGACCAAGACTTCTGTTGTTCCGTCTTTTATGCCTTTCCCTGTGACGCCCCCTAGCCATGCCCAAAAGTGGGCCTGGCTAGTGATGTAGTTCACCGCCTACGTAGGTATATGTCTTTAGTCATGCCTAAAGTGGGTGTGGTTAGGGGTGTGGTAAACCACTCTTTTATTATGAGATGAGGATCTGTATGCGCCTCTAGTAATTCACATGGCTAATGGCGGCATACAGGCTTCCTCCTACAATGGTAGGTGCTCTCAGGTTTCATTTTGGGGAGTGTATGCTATGAGGCTGACTCTGAGTGGTGGTCTGTTGGTCTGTTCTTAAGGTTTATGAGAATAAGATTAGAGTTTTTTTTTATAAAAAAACAATACAAGAGCAACAAAATCTCCAATCCTTGTCCAATTTGCCATGTGAAGACACAGTGTCAAGGTGCTGTCTGTGAACTTGGAAACATCTGCTAGCAAATTGCTTTTAATTGTCCAGAACTATGGGATATAAATTTCTGTTGTTTCTATGTTACTCACATCATAGACTTTTGTTATAGAAATCCAAAGGCACTCAGATTCTTGGCATGTTGTAGTTAAGATGCCCTAGTAAGAACCTGAAAAACATTAGTGGAGTATTTGAGTCCACTGACTATCTGTGATCTACAAACTTTGTGACAGCCTTATAAAGCAAGCACTGTGTTGACCCAGTGAGAAACTAAGGCAGAGATATATATGGGTAAATACCTAGACTGTAGATAAAGGATCTGACATGTCAGTTATCTGTTATCGCTGCTATTTTATGAGGGTTGACACTGCTGTTCTTACCCAGTCAGGAACTGAGGGGGATCTGTGTAGAGTGAGCAAAGTGGTCCATTCATTCTATTTAACAGGAGCCACGTCAATGAGTATAAGCATTTACATATTCTCTGAAGCAGGATGGAGTGCAAGGGACAGGTTTCTTGCTTGGTTCATGTGTGGCTCCTCCCTCCCTCTCTCCCTCCTTCTTTTCTTTGAGACATGGTCTCTCTATTTAATCTTGGCTGGCCTTGAACTCACAGAGATTCTCTTGCTTCTGTATCCAGAGTGCTTGGATTAAAGGCATGTATTACCATGTCCAGCTTGCTTTCTTTTTTAAACTGAAATATATTCTTATTGCTGTTGCAAATATGCATATGTGTGTTTGAATGAGAATGAAGGTATGTTACTGATGGGGGAAGTCCTTCTGTGCATATGTCTGTCTTATTGGTTGATGAAAAAAGCACTGTTGGCCAATAGGGAAGCAAGATATGTGGGACTAGGAGTTGAGGAGGATTCTGGGAAACAGAGGCAGAATCAGTCACGATGTAGGACTCGAGAGAAGTAACAGGTCAGGACCCTTTCTCCGGTAAGAGTGGAAATACTTAGATTAGCAGTTATGGGCTAATAATTAAGCCAGAGGTAGCCAATAAAAAATCATAGCAATGGCCAACAGCTTCATAATTAATATAGTGTATCATGTGTTATTTGGGGTCTGAGACAGCATTGGGACCCAGGCAGCTGGCGGGAAGAATCCTGTAACATGTTACAGTGTGCATGTGGAGGTCACAGGACGACTATTTTCTCTCTCCTTCTACCATGGGTTCTGAGGGTTGAGCTCAAGTTATCAGTCTTGCATGACAAGTGCTAGTAGTGCTAAACTATCTTGTTGGCTCACTTTCTCAATTTCAATAATTAAAAATTGTACATTTATATAAAACTAAAGGTGACATGGAATACTTAATCCCACCCCAATAAACTAAAGTAGAACAAAAGAGAGAACCAGAGCTTTTGAGATGTTGCTGAGACAACAGAAAAAATTTAGCTATGGTTTATACACTAGATAACACCCAATTTATACATTTCCAAGGTATGCTAACTGTGTTGTGGTTATGCCCGAAAATCCTATATTTAGAAAAACTCAGAGGTGAAGGGATGGCATACCAATATGGCTAAGTAGGTACAATTATTGAGTAACCAGAGGATATTCAAGTGTTCAGGGAATTATTCTTTCTGCTTTTTGTGTATATGTGAATTTTCCATAATAAGAAAATTTTTTTTTGGTTTTACGAGACAGGGTTTCTCTGTATTGTTTTGGAGGCTGTCGGTTCATCCCAGCCTCAAACTCACAGAGATCCGCCTGCCTCTGCCTCCTGCGTGCTGGGATTAAAGGCGTGCGCCACCACCGCCCGGCAAAAAATCACAACTATTTGTTTTCATTTTACAGGTGTGGGTGTTTTGCTTATGTTTATGACATATTCCACATGTGGGCCTGGTACCTGAGGAGGCCAGTAGAGGATGCCAGATCTTATGGAACTGGAAATACAGATGGATGTGAGCCACCATGTGAGTGCTGGGAATTGAACCTGGGTCCTCTGGAAGAGCAGCCAGTGCTCTTAACTGCTGAGCCATCTCTCCAGCCGGTAAGAAAATTTTAAAACATCAAGCTTTATAATTATCACAAGAGCTATAAATTTCTCTTTATATTGTTAAAATATTTTTTGGACAAACTTTAGGTTCCTATCAAAATGGAGCAGAAAGTAAATAGTTGTCATAAAACCATGCCCCCACACATGCCGTTTCTCCCATTAACAATGTCTAATGCTAGAGGGGTTACCTTTGTTCTGGATGATGAGCCTGCATTGCCCTGTTACCTATTGGACTGCAAAGTTTCATGGAGACCTTTTTCACTCAGGCAAGTGTGTAAAGACTTATACCCACCATTGTAGGTCACTCCTAAGTCCTCCTGTACTCCAAATGTTAATCTTCACTTTCTGTCACCCCTGACAATCACTGACCCTTTTCCCTTAATCACTGCTCCCCACGAATTTGTTTTTCTAGAATATTACATAACCAGAATCTCCAATGTGCAGCTTCTTCAGATTTTCTTCCCTCGCTTAGCACACACGCTTGAGTTCCTGCCGTGTGTTTCATGGCTCAGTAGCTCATTTGTGTGTGTGTGTGTGTGTGTGTGTGTGTGTGTGTTGAATTGCATCACGCATTCTAGATACACCAGTTTATGTTTGTCTACTTACTGCATCTGGGATGGCCACCGAGATGGCAACACTAAATAAAAATGCTATCAACTCCCATGGGCTGATTTTTGTGCAGATCTGATTCACTGAGAAGGGTACCTGAATTTTACTGGGAAAACTCAGGAAATTCATTAAGGGAGATGAATAATCTCGCCACCTAGACTGCTACCTAGAACTTTTTTTTTTAAACCACAAACTTCTAGGCTTCTCGTCATAGGTACAGACACGTATTGCATTGTGATTCTACATTACCCACATCTGTTACACAAGTTATACTTAGTGCACAGCTGCCTCTGTTTCCATTCTGTGCCATTCTACCCCTGAACAAATATCTGACTTTTACACCCATGAATCCCCAATCAGCTGAAGCAATGATCAGCATGTTACTACCTGGCTGAGAAGAGCCATAGCCAGAGTCCCACCCCCCCTCCACTGTCTTCCTCTTCCCATTTCTTGGGGACTTTTCTGGCTTTCATAATCGGGGGAGACTTTTCTAGCTTCCCACTGTCCAGAGCTTATGCCTCTTGCTGGGACCACCTGCTTACCAGCTAGTGTATTTTCACATCTCATAGAGACCCAGTCACCTCTGCATGCCAACCCCGTTCATGGACCCTGTGGGGTCAAATCTCCCGCTCTTCACTTTGCACCGTAAAAACAATAGGTAGTCCATTCCCCAGATCAAGAGTATGTCCCTCCTCCATGGAATCCAATGTGGCGATTCCTGAAGAACTTGAGTTTCACACTGGATAGTCAAGAGGTGGAAACTGGGGCAGGAGGAGCTCGGCTCCTAGTGCCCAGGTGCTGATCGGAGCTGCCGCTGCTCTTGAGATTTCCAGCATCAAGGGACGGGCACCAGGCTGTGATTACATAAATGCTGCATGGTAAATACAGGGCAGTGACTAATTTCAACTCCAAGTAGCTAAGACTAGCCGGAGCATGGGGGACTTACTTTTGAAAGTGTTTTTCCAATTTGTTTAAAGAAGCTAATTTTAAGCATCTTGCACTTCTGTCACAGTGGGAGGAATCTTGTTTTATTATAACAAGATGGATTTCCTGTTAGTGTACAGGTTTTGGAAGCTCCCCCCCTCCATATTCTTAAAACTTTGCACGGAGTCAGTATGTATTTGTAAAAGGAATGAATGAGTGCATAAGACCTGAATGTGATGCCGTAGCCCCGACACAGCCACCACAGTGAATACGACCTGAATGTGATGCCGTAGCCCCGACACAGCCACCACAGAGCTTCTAGCATCCCTCATGGGAAGAGAGGGGAGGAAGTCACATTGAAACCCCGGAGGAGAGACTTCTGTCTCTCTCCTGTGGCCTGTTCTACAGCAGCAATGGGTGGGCACTGCATTTCCTCAAGGAAATGCTGGGCAGAGCTCCTCCTTTCTCTGTCTTTGCACTGCTTTCTCTGGATTTCACACAGACAGGCTAGAACGCTGGTGCTAAGCAATACTGGTTGGTGAATGGTGTCTTAAGCAATAACACACGTGCACACAGAAACACACACGCACACACACACACACCTGCACACACATACAGAGGTCTGTGTGTACACGTGTATATACACACACCTGCACACAAATACAGAGGTCTGTGGGTACATGTGCGCGCGCACACACACACACACACACACACACACGCACGCATATACTACATACAGAGGCATGTGGGTATATGTATGCTCACACACATACACAACATACCACAATAAGCTACAATTAGCATAATTTTGTCTCCTTCAAAGAACATTGGGGTTGCTGCTTATGGTGGCTAAAAGAGAAGGGTGAGTAATCTTGACTCCAACAAGAAAAAAATTGGATGAAAATAATCCAAACAGGCTATTTCAGGACTCTGGAAAATGAGCACAGGCAAACAAGGAATAGGTTAGAAGACAACCTGTGGAAGTCAGTTCTCTCCTTGTACCGTGTGGGGCCTGGGGTTTGGATTCAGGTCCTCAGGCTTAGTGGCAATTGCTCTTTATTGCCATGCTATCTATCCTCCTTGAGAAGTGTTGATCTTTCTTTCTATCTGTCTATCTATCTATCTATCTATCTATCTATCTATCTATCTATCTATCTATCTATGTCCTATCTGCTGTCTGTCTATCTATCTATCTATCTATCCACCCATCATCTATCTATCTATCGATATCTATCTATCATCATCTATTTATTTATCTATATATCATCTATGTATCTATCCATCTTCCCGTCATCTATATGTCTGCCTACCTATTATCTGTCTGTCATCTATCTATCTATCTGTCTGTCTGTCTGTCTATCTATCCATCTCTCTACCATCTATCATCTATCCGTCCATCTTGCATCCATCCATCCATCCATCCATCCATCCATCCATCCATCCATCGTCTCTCCACTTAGACACATCTTGCCACATGTAGAGAAGCCTGTCCTTGGCTTTGCACTTGATCAGCCCTGGTGTCCCCAGTCTTGGGATTACAGTCATGCACCGTCGTGTCTGGCTTGAGAAACTTTTTTTAAAAATGTCTTTTCTTTGGGTGTTGTTTGTGTAGCATGAAACTGCCCTTCTAAAGCAAATGGTTCAGTGATTTTTGGTGTGTGTTCACCGAGTTATGCAAGAAATGTATTTGTTTGGAAAATCTGTGCAGTCAAGGAGGGAAACAGGAGATTCCTCCCTGGAGCTACAGCTTCGTTTCTGTATGGCCCAGTCCTTAAACACCCATGGCTTTGCTGAAGGAAACAGCCCTTGGCTCTGGGAAAGTCTGAATGACTACTGCGCTAGCAAGTTCAATAAACTGATGGGGAGAACCACAACATTATTTTATAAACCGCAAACAAAAATGCTGCTAATTACTGATGCTAACTTATTTGTGAAATGTGTTTCAGCTTCAGACATTTGAAATGTCTCATGGTAATACGGACGATCTATGCTAAGTAGCAAAATATATCTGTGGTCAAGAACATTGACTGACGGTACAATTATATCACTCCCCTTTCTCCAGAGGATCAGGGACCATCACAAAAGAGGGTGCAAACATTGTGAAAGCCAGGGTCTGGGGAGAAGAGCAAAAACAGTGTCTTCTGGACATTATAGAACTGATACACTCATGAACTCATGCAGGCTATGGTTGCCTGCATAAGACTTAGGCAAGATCAAGCCAGCCAACATTTCAACATAGAGTAAGAATGGGTTTACACTTGGCACGTGCTCAGTGAACAATGTTTGTGAATAAGTAGACCACGGATAACTTGCATCTTTTGCTCACTTTGCAGCTGAGCAGAGGCCGTGTTTTTATCCAGGCTATGAAGTCAGCATGACAAGGTTGAGGTCTGATATGGCATCACCATGGTCGTGGTCCAGGGCTCGAGGCTCGAGTCCTTTAGTGTTTTGATGCTTTCTTAGATTTTTGTCATTTCTGCCCCCTGATTCAGAGACCTCCTGACAGACTTACGGGAAGGCAAGAGGGCACCGTGAAAAGGGAGGTCTTCGTTCAAGTTCGCCATTTCCCCTTCTAAGATGTGTGGTCTAGGAAGTACTTTACGGGTCTAAATCTGGTTCCCTGCCATGTCAGGTGGGAATTCCTCCCAAGCAGAGCTTGTATAAACTGCAGGATGGCCCCAGCCTGCTGTTTACTTGTATAACCACAAGATGGCAGCAAAGGAAAGCATGTGCCTGTAAAGGCTCTCCCATTGGTTCAGCATCGCAGAGCTCCAGTGTCCGGAAGTGGGGAGTTTTCACTGTAAGCCCCCTGCCTGCTGGCTTGCCTCGGCTTCCTGGTTAAGCATCCTCACCACGACGTTCTGAAGTTTACATCGCGCAGATCACGCCTTCATTTGGGGGGTCTGTTGGTGCATCTTGGAAACCCACGATTCTATCTAAAAGAGTCTGGGGTCTGTGAGCTCTTAGAGAGAATCAGTCTGGTTAAGGAAAAAGCAGTGAGGTAGCAGAAGTACACACCAGGATTTGGTGATGTCCAGGTGACACTGCCTAGCAGCCAGGGAGGTGTCTCTGGGTCACTGCAGTCTGAAGGGCAGTACTGGTTTGGGATTTTATTGGCACAGTCTCAATCTCATGGGGGGGGGTCATCAGGTGCTGGCTGTGGTTTTTGGAGAATCCAAGTCAAGTGGGCTTTAAGTCGTTGCAATCTGCATTGTGTGAGCTAGCTATTTTTTTTTTTTTCCGTTTTTCGAGACAGGGTTTCTCTGTATTGTTTTGGAGGCTGTCCTGGAACTCACTTTGTAGACCAGAATAGCTTTGAACTCACAGAGATCGGCCTGCCTCTGCCTCCCGAGTGCTGGGATTAAAGGCAAGCATCACCAATGCCCAGCTGTGCCAGCTATTTTAAAAATGATTGGGGGTATGAAAAATTGAAGTTTTGGCACGTGCGAGTTTTTACGCTAATGGATCTCAGCCTCCAGCGGAAAAATAAACTAGCAGGGACCCGTGGGCAGCAGCTCTGTTATAACCACCAGGAAAGCCTCTGTAACAGGGCTGGAAGGCTGCTGAGGAGAGGCTACCCCTGCTTCGGGGCAGCACATCGCCCTTGGATGAACACACTCGGCATTCACAGCAGCCTCTGGGTCCTCACGGTCTATGAGCAGTTTCTAGATTCCAGCTGCAATATGCCAGGGCCAACACACTTACCTTTCACATCTTCCTTTGCCCAACAGGAGTGATAGTCTACCCACGTGTGTTTGCGGGACTTATGTAACACAGGCATACACAGGACCATCGCTGTGTCTGACCAAAGGCAGACATGATCAGTCGTATTTCTTTCTTTCTTCTGGGCTTTGGAAGTGTCTGGCGGGCAAGCGAATGAATGGGAGGAGCGAACATTGACAGAGCAGATTCTTCAGTGGCTAATGAGGCTGCTTCACATGTCAATCCCAGGTCCCTCTCCCTCCCCTCCTCCCACGCCCTCCCACCAACCTCCCCCAATATCTCCTCATTTCCCCAGGGAGGGTGAGGCCCTCCATGGGGGTGTCCATAGTCTGACATTTCATCCAGGGCAGGGCCTAGACCCTCCCCCGGGAGTCCAGGGTGAGAGAGCATCTCTCATTGTGGGATGGGCACCCAAAGTCCATTTGTATACCCGGGATAAATACTGATCTACTACCCAAGGCCCCATAGATTGCCTAGGCCTCCTCACTGAGGCTGCTTTTCTTTTGACAAGGGGCCAAGGCTGGTCCTTTGCCTGGGAAAGAGAAGGGTGATTTGAAGGAGGCAGGTGTTACTGGATAAGGGATAAAGAGGTGTGAGGTTATGTGTGTGTGTGTGTGTGTGTGTGTGTGTGTGTGTGTGTGTGTGTGTGTGTGTACCTCTTTGCTGCTGGTGCGGGATGCAAAGAGCAGAGCAGGGACTCCATAATCTCCTAACCGACCTGGGTTACTTAGCTTGCCAAAGATCTTGGCAGAAGCCAGACCGAGTAAGCGCCCATAGCGTGTGTGTTCTATTATTGCTGCGGAGATTCTGCGATGGAAAAGGTCAGAACCACTGCAGTGCATCTGAGAGCAACGGCAGCCACGTCTCCAGTGCTACTTGGCAGTTTGCGAGCCGTGTCTTCATATTTACAAAGGCGAGAGGGAAGTGCCCGTGTGTGAGAAAGATATTAATGCAATTAATCAGCAGTCTACTGGAGAGCCCTCTCCTCCAACCCTAACCTTTGCTGAAGGTTCTCCCACCCAAGCAAAGCCCACGCCCCAATTATGGACTGAGAGCAGTTCTTCAACCAGCAGTGGTGAGCAGTGAGTGATGAGTGCATCCGCTCCTCTGTACTGAGCTGTGGTCCCGTACAAGGACACGGCTGAATGGTGACAAGTTTCTGTGTAAACAGGATCACAGGCAAGGAGCTGGAGACTGTGTCACCCAGTCCCCTTGCCTCAGGCCCCTCATCAAGGAAGAAAAGGGAGGAGTCTGGATTGTACTCTGTTTCTCTGTCTCTGTCTCTCTCCTCTTTTTTGTTTTTTGAAACAGGTTTTCTCTATAGCTCTGGAGGCTCACTTGTGACTGGCCTTGAACTGACAGAAGATCCACCTGTCTCTGCCTCCCGAGTGCTGGGATTCAAGGTGAGAGCCACACCACCACCACATGGCTAGTCTACTCTCTTAAAGAGCGACTCTTCCCTCTGGGTGAGATTTGCTGATTTGTTGTAAAGACTGCAGGGGAGGGAAATGTGCCATCTAAGTTGGGTAAAGGCACTGTGGCATCCTAACTGGAGTATTTGCTCTGGGAGAAACCAGCTGCCAAGCTGTGAGGTAGACCTAGGGACAGGAGAACTCAGACAGCCAATAGCCGGCAGAAAAAGCTAAGCCCGCTTTTCTCCCGAGTGAGTTCACTTTAAAGTTAGCATCCAGGCCTGACTGCATGCTAACCTTGGCTGAGGCCATGACCTCATGAGAGACCCTGAGCTAGAACGGCTCAGTCGAGCCTCTTCTGAGTTTCTGGCTCACAGAAACCTCGGGATAATAAATGTCTCTATTTCTGGCCACTCAATTCTGAGGATCTGTTGCCCAGGAACACATAATATACAGAGTCCATTACGGAAGTAACCACTACTACGACTCAGGATAGAGAGAAGGAAAGATGAGTTGCTGCAAGGTACAACTTGACATTTCCTGCCAACATCTATTGTATAGGGCTTGAGATGCGGCTCCCTAACCAGCAGCGGCAGAGCCGGACATCTTTCGTTCCTGAGGCTTTTGTCATCTTGAAGGTGGGGAAATGGGGACCTGGGGACAAGGAACAGATTTTGCCACAACTTGGCTATGCTTTGTGTTTCCTTAACCAGATGGTTTTGTTGAAGCTCCTTCCTACTGTTTGTTCATGGACTGAGTGGTCCTCCCCCCACCCCAAGAATATTGTAGAGTTCAAATGCAAAATTCTTGCCTTTATTTCAAGGAGAGCAATACCTTTTCCTTCCAGAGGCTGGTAGTGGAAAAATCATTTGGTTAGCTTCCTGACAAAGTCTTGGGTTGGTTTCGAATGCAACACTAGACTAGAGCAATCTCTCCTTCTGCTCATCATCCCCGATTTTGGTGTAGAATAGGGTCTTCTAGGGGCTCAGGGCTTGAGAGTGACTACTGCCCATGATGAAGGTCCAAGTGCAGTTCTCAGTGCCCATGGTGGGTGGGGGCACTGTAGCTCCAGCTGCAGTGCCATCATCTAAAGACCTCTTCTGGTCTTCAAGAGCACCAGTATGTAGGTGGCGCACATGTAAACACACACACACACACACACACACACACACACACACTTGAAATAAAAACCCAAGAAATAAAAGGCACCTATAGGGCAAAACTGGATAGAGAAATGTAGTTATATGGATTTTATCTGCTGTGGAGATTTGAGGCAGAGCCTCCCCTGTGCCAGGTACTGTTGGGAGATTATGTGTTTACCTGTCTCTGCTTCTCCCTCAACCAATCTTAGGACTCACAACTACACAGGCCCAAGAAACAGATGTACCATCACCATAGTCCTAGAGACAAAAATGTAAATGTGTCCAAGTTTGGCAGCTGTGCCTGATTGCACATGCTTGGGATTCCAGCACTGGGGAGGCTGAGGCAGGAGGATTGTGAGTTTGAGGTTAGCCTGGCTACAAGTAGAAACTATTTCTAACAACAGACACACTGCCCAAGATAAGAAAGTGCTAAGTACATTCCAATCCAGAAGTTATACCATATAGATGGTAGAGTCTGGTGGGATTTCAAACAGGTAGACTTAAAGGGATGGGGGGAGAAATAAGGTCTTAAAACTAGAGGGTGTGTGTGTACCTGTGTACCAAAAAATGTTGGAGACACCGAGAGGAGCCAAAGAGAGAGGCCACATGTGCTACAGGTGACAGGGTCACAAGAATGGGGTTACCAGAGCCTGTGGAACTTACATTGTGTGTCTGAGATGTCCCACATATAGCTGTAGGATTCAGTGTTTACCGGATGGGTTTAGATCTAGTTTCGCCTATTTCCTTGCTATTCCCTGTCCCCATTCTTCTGATTTGAAATGGGAATGTTTACTCCATGCTGTTGTAGGTTGGAGATTCTTAGTGTTTTATTTTACAGAAACACACGGCTAAGACACTGCCTTGGGTTTTAAGAGATTGATTGAACAGTGTTTGAACTGCGGAGACTCTGGAGCTGTAAAAACCGACCAGATGTGTTTTGTTTTGTGAGATGGCCATGAACCATGAACCTTTAGGAGACAGGACTGTTATGGGTCGAATTTGAAAGTCCCAGAGTTTCATGTTTTAAATGTTTCTTCTTCTTCAACAGGTAATGCCACTTGAGGTTGTGGGAAGTTCAGGAACCGGTGCTGACTCTCGGGTATTTTATCATAGCAACACAAAAGCAATGAATTTACCTTGGCTGTCTGCACATTGGCTGCAGGTCATCTGACCTGGTTAACCTCTCAGTGTCACCTAGGGAGGAGACTTCCTTTATAGCTACTGTCCAAAGTGTGGTCTCTTAAGGGCCTGTAAGTTGGCAGCTTCCAAGGTTTCTTTCGTCATTTTTACCAGGTGGTTATCTGCCACTCAAAAGTATTGTTTGTTGTTGTTTTGCTGCAGCTACAGGCGATGACACAGAAACCACAAACTCAACAGAACTCACGTGGGGTTTATTGGGGAAAGGGAAAAAAAGATAGGGGAAGGTGTTGGCCAACCAGGAACAGAGATGGAAGGGGAAGGGGCGGACAGGTGGGAGGTGCTCGCTTAAAAGGGAAAGCTTGCACATGCGTACAGAGTCCTTATGCAGCCATGTAACGCATGACGTGACCACACAACACAGGGACCTTTGAGCTGTCTAAGCATCTGCCTGAATGCTGGTCTGTCTAAGCATCTGCCTGAATGCTGGTCTGTCTAAGAATCTGCCTGAATGCCAGTGTGTCTACCTTGCCAGTTGTCAGGGAGCAGGGTCAGCATAATGCCAGGATACCAACACTGCTAACCCATCCCTATTCGTTGGTGGGCCAGGGCTTGCAACCCAACAGCCCTTTCATTGCTGAAATCAGTGCTCGTGGGTGGTGATGCGGGAAGTTAACTTTGAGACTCCAGGGGCTAGGAACTGGCTGGGGTTTGCTGCTGTGAGTGGTAGTCACTATTGACCTCAGAAACGGGTGCATGAGAGAAACGTGGAGAACATCTAGAGAGATTTTCCAGACATCAACTGATCTCTGTTTGTCTTGTGTTGCTAAAATGTTGCGACTGTGAACCACGGGCAGATAAGTAATATCTGTGGAGCAGAGTTAAGTGCTCACGAACCATTGAATGACTACAAGGAAGTTTAATCTGGTTTGCAGGAGAAGATGAGAATTTGCATTTCCTCTTGAAACGCATAGGAAGAGAGAAGAGAAGACTGAATCAAGAAGGACGGTGATGGCCTTGGATGAAGGGGACCCTGTAGCATTTGATTGGGAGGCGTTGCTTTTGTTTTACTTCAGTAATACAATTACTTTTTGTGTTACTCCAGTATTCATCCCTCTTCTGCCCCGGTTGCTAAAAATTCCACCCCAGGGGAAGATGCAAGTGTCGCTTTTTCTTTCTCTCAATGTCCCGGTGACAAACTGAGTCACTGTTCTGACCACTTCACACTGGGGAGCCTAAACACTTATTGGTTTTTTCAGAACACAGGTGAGAGGTATTTGCAGGGTGTAAGTGTTGCTCCCCTCAACAGGGCACACCTGGAAAGACTTTGCCAACCAGCAGTAAGGCCTTCCCCATGGCTGCATAGACGGAGTCTCCTCCTCTAGTTCCCCCAAATATACTATAGTCCCTCCATGAAGCCCTGTGCAAGTAAGCAATTAAGGAAGAATTGTATACACCAGTTGGTAGGCATCAGTTGGATACTCAGGAGAGTGACCATCCTCATGTCTCCATTGAAGGTGTGTGTGTGTGTGTCTGTGTGTGTGTGTGTGTGTGCGTGCGCGTGCATGCGCGTGCGCCCCCTCACTGGGACAATCCTTTTGCACGGGGATAAAGCTGAATTCCCCAAGATGGCAGTTGCTTGGCTCAGAGGATAGTCAAACACAGCTTACCTCTCTATCTACATTATCTGTAAAGCCTAGTCGCCATGCAGGAATGGTTTGTGCAAGTGTGTACATTTGTGCGAGTGTGTAAGCCTCTGAGTGTATGTCTACAAGCACGTCCCTGTATGTGTGTGAATCTGAGTGGGAGAGATGTAGCATGTACACCTAAGAGACACACGTGAGAGAGTAGAAATGTGTATGAGTCTAAATAGGCAAACGTGTTGGTTATTGTCAGTTGTCTGCTTGCCAGAATTTGGATTTACCTGGGAGACTGACTTCTGGACATGCACAGGAGGATTTTCTTAATCACGTTAGTTAGGTGAGAAGGACTGATTGCCGTGGGTGGCATCACTGCTTAGGCAGGGGATACAGGACTCTGTAAGATAAAGGGAGCTACACACCAGCATTTATGCACCCTTTGCCGCCTCCCGACTATGAGCTTAATGTGGTTAGGTGTTTTAAGTTCCCGTTGCCTTGGCTTTCCCACCACGATGGGCCTTGATCCAGAACTTTGGCCTAAACAAACCCTTTCTCTGGTAAGTTGCTTTTGGCAGAGGATTTTATCACAACAGAAATAATGAAGACAGCAAGCATCCGGGAACGTGCGTGAGATCAGACAGGCGTGTATGTGAACACAAGTCCCTCGGAGTATCCATTGAGTGGGGCTGGAGTGGCTCCGAAGCAGTGAGTATGAGCAGGAACATACCGACAGGCCAGAGCTGGGAGGCCTCCTGCCAATCTCTCTGAGGCCAGGGAGGGCTGGAGTGACCTTTTGGTCCCATGATTGTTTACTCAGAATACACAGAGGAAAAGAGACCAGAGCAGGCAGAGTGGCGTCCAAGTTATCTGTCCTCCAAACCTCAACAGAGTCTTGCCAAATCAAATGAAGTCTCTGGGCCACAAGTGATCCATAGGCTCATCCCAGCATCCAGAATCCATGTGTAGACAGAGTTCATTTTATTACTTTTTATTAATATCCAGTTGTCTGGAAAATTGACACAATAATGTGCTATTACAGAGAACAGTCGAAACTGTACTTTGAAAATGGACAGCTTGTAAAAACGCTCTCAAAATGTTTGTTCTTATTGCTCTCATGATGCCATCAGAGGGGCGGGGCTCATGAGCTACGAGGAGACTGTGAGTGAAACCTCTGTTTCCAAACAGAAACGGACTGCCTTTGAGGCCGGCTTGTTCTCCAGAAAAGGCAAAGCAGGCTCACTGCGTTGACTTGGAGAGCTCCATGCCCAGCAAGGAGCGGTGACCTGATCTTCCAGGTTGGTAGATGGAAATGTGTGGCTGCTGAACAATCAATAATTCAAATAGGCACTTGCTGTTTCCTTCAGGGCGTGCTGCGCCCCGGTGGTAACTCATCAATAAAAGATTGGGCACAGTTGGAGCCCACAGCTAATCTGAGAGAAGCATTCTCACTTGGAAATGCTGGTTGACACAGGCTCCAGAGCGGCAGAATGTCTGTGGTCTGGAATTAAAATGTCGGGCTAGGGAATGAGCCTCAGCACCCTGCTCTGGCTGGATACAGAAGGCCAGGTCCTGGAATCTGGGTCAGCAGTCCCTGGAAAACTCTGCTTTTCCACCCATTGTGGAGCTCCGTGTGTGTGTGTGTGTGTGTGTGTGTGTGTGTGTGTGTGTGTGTGTGTGTGTGTGATAGGCCAGACATCCCTGAAGAGTGTGGATTTCATCCCGGAAGTAATCCAGACCTTGGGCCCAGGCTTGATTAGCTAAGGATCAAGGGAAACCTCTGAAAACTTCCCAGGCAACTCACAACTTTTACTGTATTTTTCACGACTAAAGGAACTCCGACGTAGTAAAGTGTGTGAACACAGACAAGTAAAAAGAAAGATTTAGACAGGGAAAGATTCCAGACTCGCCATTCCAATAGAGACACCGTGCTTCGGGAGGGCAGGGAGGACGAGCCTGCAGTTTAGGGTTCCCTGTCGCCCCCACTGTTGCCTTGTGTGGGTCGTTGGGTTCACAGCCTTGCACTCAGAAGTCTCAAGCTCAAAAGCGCTCTTTGTGATAGTCTGTCATACATTAACTTGGGATCAAAGCGCAATCAGAATAGAGCTGAGTGTACTTAGAGATACTTTGTTTTTCACACCAGTTGGCATAACTACTTGTGTCTGGCTGTTTTGAATGCGGCTAGTTATTCTTCAAGTTATCATCTTCTTCACTTGTAAAAGCTTGGGAATGCTAAACCACTTCCTTTGTGGTCACTGGTGTGCAGAGTTCATGCCCCATGCTTGAACTGCCCTTGGAAGTGGTAGAGACAAGATTCTGATCATGGAATGCCCCTCCCTTGACTTAGTTAATTCCTTCCCTATGTCCCCCCAACTTCACAGAGCACAAAGCAAATGGTAGGGGAGAGGATGAAGCTCTCTGAGCCCCCCATGGGGGTTGTTCAGTGCTTTGGGATGGAACAGTGGATCCCAGGACAGACGTTTACCTGGTGGGGTTCTTGAACACTCAGTCTCATGCTGGCATGTTTGGTGGAGTCCTGGATGCTGCCATGTCCCCCAGGCCCAGTTGGAGTGTCTGTTTCTCTGTTTTAGCGCCGGGCCTAACATTGTTGAGTCGTGAGAACATTCTAGACAAAATCTTCCAGCTACAACACATCAATCTTTTATTGTGCTCCAGTGACTAAAGTTAGTGGCCATTAGTTATAGCAGCGAGTGTTTATTGACTCACAGTTCCGAAGCTGCTGCTACAGCTATCAGAGCCTTTGGCATTTTTCAGCTTTCTCGTTTGTGTGATGCTCTCCTTGCAGCCTGTGTTCACAAGAGAAGGGAATGTGATGCAGTCTTCCCTGGAAACTAGCTTGTAACCCCACCACCCGACTTTCTAATTGTTTCTCCATACTAACCCACCCCAGGGAGTTTGCCCTTGATGGTCCGATAACACATTGCCTTCATCATTTCACATTATTTTCACTGTCCCATTGTTGAGGGTTAGTCTTCAGCATCATAGCCTCAGAAAGCTAGCCCTGCTACTCAGTTAAATCCCTGACCTCCAGTAACGTAAACATTTATTTTCGTTTGCATGTGTTTGTGTTGGTATTTGTGTGAGAATATGGCATCTGTGTGCAGTGCCCATGGAAGCCAGAAGGGGGCACTGTCCTCCTGGAACTGGAATTCTAGGTAGTGAGCTACCTGACATGGTTCTGGGAATAGAACTCAGGATGTACTTACAAACCCCCTTTTCTAATTAAGATGGGAACTCCCCTAAGTCAACAAGAGCGATGAGTGAGGAGAACCTCAAATTGTGTACTTGATCTGACATATTCAGAGACCAATGAAACCATCCTTGTTCTAAAAAAAATTAAACCTTTTTATTAGTATATTTATTTTATATATAAAAGAAATACAAAAAAAGAGAGAAAGAAACACAAAGAAAATGCTTTTTATGGCAAATCGGATTTGTCAGTGCCTTCAGCTTGTGCTCCAGGCTCTGGCCCACTGGGTGTTAATAAAGTCCGCCGGTTGTAATGGCCCTTGATGATGCCCGAGTTGCTGTTCTCATTGAGTAGTTGCTTCTGCCTTTGCCGGTTGAGAGACTGGACAAGGCCAAGGACAACCGCAGCCAGAGAGTATTGCCCGGGCAGTCTCCTTGGGGGCAAGATGAATGGGTTGGGTTGGACTCTTCCCAGGAGAAAGTACGTTTTGATTTTCCCTTCTTGCTCACTGATACCCTTCACATAGATCTCTCCTCGATAGTCGAAGGCAAAGCCCTGGTCTTTCAGGATAAGATAGGTCTCCTCTGGAACTTGGATCCGGCCACTCACCCCCGTGCTGTCCATGCGACTCGCTAAGTTCACGGTTTTACCCCAGATGTCATACTGGGGTTTCTTTGCACCAATCACGCCTGCTACCACCGAGCCATGGCTGATGCCTACAAAAGAACCCAAGAGAGCAAGGAGTAAGGCAGAGGAAGTGCAGTTAGGCGTCTGGACCTACCTGGGAAGTGGCAGGCACGCGTGTAGTGTCTGAACAGCATAGTCCAGGTCTGTAACATTTAGTCTTTTGGCCAGCCGCCGGGACCCTGCCGAGATGTCTGAACCCCCAAATGAAACTCAAGACACTGATGAAGCTGTTGGCATTGGCATCAGCTAGCTCTGAGTTGATTATTTACCCATAATTACTAATAAATATTTTACAAGGACTTCTCTTTTTGAGGAGGTACTCCCTAGCGCCCTTTGCTCCTGGGAGATCACATGGCGACCAGCCAGTTTACTACATTTCCCAGAATCCTCCTAGACTCCCAGTCCCACCTATCTTGCTTCCCTATTGGCCAACAGTGCTTTGCGGACACATACACAGGACTTCCCCCATCACAGGTCCTACCTCAGTCGCTTACTAGATGAGTCACCCAGGTCTTACTAGATGAGTACCCATGTACAGACTGGAATATAAAAGGAGGTTTATGTAAAACAATACGAGCCAAGCATTGCCGGAGAGTGACTGACATAGAGCTTATCGTTTCCACGTGCACAGAGACTGATCTTGGGTGTGGGACGCTCAAGGTGCTGACCGGGACTCAGGCCATCTTTTGTTGCTTACACAGTGCCCTGAGAGCTTGAGCAGATCATTTCCTTCTCTGTTTTCCGTCTAGGTCTCCAGCACTATTCATTCCCACGGCAATGTCTCTATACACCTCTTGTCTTCTCGAAGCCCTCTTTCCCCACTGCTTCGGGAAGGGAAAGGGCTCTCTGATCCATCCAGTTATCCAGTGAGAACCTGTTTGAACGTCTGCCAGGGTGTCTTTGTTCCCAAGGATAAAGCCAGTGCTCTTTAGGGTTATAATCCATTAGAGTGACATCTTGTCTTGCCAGTGAACTTGTAGCAGTGGTCACACCCTTTGGGTGTAGTTTCAGGTGTGGATTTGACCCCTTTAAGGTGGAGGAGCTGCAGGCATGTGCTCTCTTGGGTCTTGGAGAGCAATGGAAGGGCAGAGACTGCATCTTCTGGAGCAGGAAGGCCACAGTGGTTATTTGCTCTTATCTGTGTAAGTTCTTCCCCAATAAAGCACCTATTTATCATTTCTCTTGGGTCTGGGGAACTCACTTACCTACCCCCTGCACCTTCAACCTATAGCGTCTTTGAACTAGCTTCAGCCTGGCTTGCCAGCCCAGGTCATCTCCCATTCCTCCATGCCAGACTGAACTGCTAGTCCCCACACGTGGTACACGTTCACCTTGGTGCTACAGTCTTGATTGTTTTGTTTGAACTCTTTGTGCCCTGCTCCCATCCCATTCTTCATTTGGAAATGCTCTTAATGATAGTCTCAATGCTTACTCCAGGAAACACAGATGCCTCTTCTAGTAATGACAGCATTTCATGAAATGTGTGCTGTGCACATCTGTCTCTTCTAAGAATTTCATAATTCTATAAACATTGACTAGGCATCTGATACGTGAAGTAGGGGAAGCAAGAAGACATAAGCTTGTCCCCTGCTCCAGAGACAGAATATAATTTTAAAAGCAGGGAATATATTAGAAGTTAATGAAAACAGAAATGATCAGTGGGTAGGAATAGGAGACCAGAGACATTATATTGGTGAGTAGAGCAGCTAGGAAAGACCTTCTGATGAAAGACCTGAGAAAAGAGATAGGACTAGCTTACAGATAGGACAGCCTTACAGATAGGACAGCCTTACAGATAGATAGGACAGCCTTACATATAGGACAGCCTTACAGATAGGACAGCCTTACAGATAGGACTTCCTTACAGATAGGACTTCCTTACAGATAGGACAGCCCTACAGATAGGACAGCCTTGCAGATAGGACAGCCTTACAGATAGATAGGACAGCCTTACAGGTAGGACAGCCTTACAGGTAGGACAGCCTTACAGGTAGGACAGCCTTACAAATAGGACAGCCTTACAGATAGGACAGCCTTACAGATAGGACAGCCTTACAGATAGGACAGCCTTACAGGTAAGATAATTCTAGACAGAAGTACCATACACTATGCATTATACTATACATACACACTACATTATATATACACACATACACTACATGCTATGCATTATACTATTACCACATAACCACATATACACTATATAATACATACACATATATACTACACACTATGTATTACACTATACACATATATAAACTACATTATACATACACAATACACTACACACTATACATTATACTATTACCATGTACACACATATACACTACATTATACATACACATATATACTACACACTATGTATCAAACGATACATACACACGTATACAGTACATTATA